GATTTAGATCCCGATCAACAAGGGAATTGTGAATAGTTCACCACTCGAACTCCCTTCAAAAGTTAGTGAAGATCGTTTTAGGATTGCTTAGTTATTTACCTTTCGTTTATTTCTTTGATTTTTGTTTATTCTTTTAGAATGGACATTTCTGTAACCCTATTGGGTATGCTAAATTATTGTGTAATGAATATAAACTCTAACTCTATTATTTCGCTTCCGCATTTAATTTAAGATTTTATTTCCATTCAAGTTTCGGGCCTTTAGAGTTGGTCTCAAAGTCGCATTCCTCGGAACCATTCCTGATACAAAGACTTAAAAATACCAAATACGAACTATCGCTCAACTCTTTCTTGTGAAAAATAAGTACAAAGACACAAGGAGATGAGGTCTCTTACTGAACAGGGCAACCCGAAATAGGTCACTTCGAGAGAATGTCGATCGGCTTTTCGAAATTTTAGAGAGACTCATCTCTACCCAGTAGGCCAGGGAAGAGAGCAGGGAACTGTCTGACCCTCTACTACTTTCACAATATGAGCCACCCCTATAACGAGAGGATCTAACGCCACCTCGATGCAACCCTGCTCTTTCGTCGTATCATCTGACACCGTCACAATACAATTCGGAGCCCTCACTGTATCATCTAGCACCATTACAGGGCCACTCGGTCCCTCTTCAGCAACATCTGACCCCTCTTCTATGGGACTTGATTTCACCCATGATGAACCTGATAGAGATTGACACGAGAGACCCTGATGTATTTCAAAGAATGTACTGGTTAGCGGCGTATCATGCTACCGTGGATTATTTCCACAAGAAAAATTGTATTTAAGCCTCCTAACGAAGAATCATTTATAAGCTAATAAAAGTTTTGAATATTATTCCCTCATAACAATTTTCTTATTATATAGTGTTTTAACTCAATTATTTTCTCTACACTGGGTAAACTTAAGAAAGAAATTTGTATTCAAGAGATTCCAGTAGTCTGAGACTTCCCGAATGTGTTTCCTGATGAACTTTTCAGACTATTAGTGGACATGAAAGTTGAGTTCACCATAGACCTTCAGTCTGGCACGCAGCCTATCTTAGTTTTTCCTTACTACATGAGTCATGTAGAGATGGAATAGTTGAGAAAATAAATCAAGAAATTGCAGGACAATGGGTTTATCTAACACAATGTTTATCCTTGGGGCGCTGAAGTCACATTTGCAAGGAAATGAGAAGAGACGTTAGAATTATGTATTGACTACAGGGAATTTAACAAGGTCGCGATCTAAAACAAGCACTCATTCCTCAGGATCGATGACCTTTTTTATCAATTGTAGGGTGCCTAACTATTTGATTAAGTGTGAAGGAGACAAATTTGAGGGACTAAATTTCTTTTAAGGGGGGAGAGTTGTAATACCCGAAGTCGAAATTTAGCCCAGAATTAATTTTAATATTCTAAAAATATAAAAGAATCAATTTTTTTGAAATTAATAAATTTTAATTTAATGTGAAATTATTGAAAAAAATAGGTTGAGGATAAAATTGAAAATAATTTTAGAAAAAAAGGTAAAAATTTAGGTTTTGAGGGTGTTTTTGAAAGAAAAATCAGAAACTAAGGGTTAGAACACAATTAAAAAAAATTTTACCACGGAAGACCGCCCAGTCTGCAGCCTCGACGAATTAGAGCATACCGCGTGGCAAGACACGCTGACTCGGTGCCACGCGGGAGGCCACGCTGACAATTCGCATGCCCCGCGATTAGACGACCCAGAAGCGTTCCCGCGCGCGTGGACGGTCTGAATCCGTTTCCTCTTCAGGCACGATCGAACGGTCGCGACCAAGTACGATGAACGGTACATATTCATTTCTTCTTTAAATGCGATCAGACAGTCGAGATCAAATCGTGATGAACGGTTTATATTCATTTTTTCTTTAAATATGATCAAACGATCGAGATCAAACACGATGAACAACCCATATTAACGCGATACGGATATAAATATTTTGCATCACACTAAACTCAAACCCTAGCTGCCAGCCTCTCGCTGGAGAAGAAGAACCAGTTGCCGGAGAAGGGAGCCGATCGCCGACCATCGCCACATCCGACCGCCAAAAAAAGTAAAAATTCTTTTATCTGCTCAAAATTTGATTTCGAGCACCCTCATGGCCAAATCGAAGCATAAAGAACGGCGAGTGAGCTAGAAATTGCGAGCAAAGTCCGACGGCGTTACTGCAGGCAAAACTCGCAACGTTCTCCGATGAGCCCCTTCCCATTTCCCGTTTCGTGTGATTTTTTCACTGTTGTGTTAACCATTATGTTTTCAACAAGTTGATCGAAGAAAAACTCCCAGCAACAAAGGTGAGCCGGCAGAGCCACCGCACCTAGAAAACCCCACCGCCGGTAGATTTTCGCTTTCTAATTTTTTCAGCCAATCGAGGCTCCCTAACATACTTTTTTTTTGCAAAGATATCTATAAAATCGGCCGAAACTAGCCAGAACCGACCGAAAATGACTAGGCCGAGATAAACCACCTCCGCGGGTGGTGGTGCCGTCGCCGGAGCACGGTGGTACTGCCGTGCCAGAACTCCAAAATTGGTCAAAAAAGATTTTTTTACCGATTTTAAATTTTTAGGGTATTTTTAGGGATGTGAAACATGTTTTAATCTTCGTAGAAAAATTTAAGTAACCTAGGGACCGCTAGTAGGTGCAGTAGAAAATTCGGTGTTTCGAACATTGATTCGGATAAGGATCCCTCACCATTTTCTCCACTATGGTAAATTAAAGTTTAATAATTAATAATTATATATTTTTATGAAAAATTAAATAACCTTAAAAATAATTACAGGTCACTAGTGGAGCCAGAACTACTTAGTTCATGGTCGTTTTGATTTCTTATTTATTTTCTTATATTGCCTATATTTGGTTACTATTATACTATGCATAACTCAATTGAAGATTTTTAGGATCTTTTTAGTTATTTGGTTATTTGTTTCTCATGCATTGTGTGCTGGTATTTCGGTCATTGGTTATTTAATTGTGTTAAACTATATTGTTATCTAAGTGAACTATGAGTATAAAATGAAGTATGGTTATTGCATGATTGATTATTATACTGATGAAAATCAGTATGAAAAAGACTTACTGGGTACCCTAAAAAGGGCGGAAGAACCCAATACATAGAGAACCCTACTGTGAATGTTACTTCAGTCGGATGGGGCTGAGAAGTCTCTTACTAGTAAAGTTTGAGAGATATGGTTCACCTTCATACTGGACGGGGTATCGAGGTGGTGGAATGTTTGGCACCCATTATTGGACGGGGTATGGGGATGACCAATTAATTGTTTAATTGGATATTGGGTTCACGAGTAGGAGGACATCCCTATGGACCCCCAGGGGTACCGGTAAGTGGGTAAAGATATAAAATGATCGTTTATTGTTATTTTTTATATAATAAATAATAGTGCATGAATATGAGTTTTCATAAGTTATTGTTGGGAAATACTTGTTACACAAATATAGAATAAATGACTTTTTTTTTTATAGTAAATGAATTTATATTAAATTAATGGCTCATTTAGTTTTTTTTTCTGATTTCTACCAATATTCAGTTTTCTGTATATGTGATTAATGTGATATTCTTATTGGGATAGTGTATAGTTCACCATTTCATTAACTATTTCAGATCAAGAGAACCAAGATTCAAATCCCGATCGATAAGGGAGTTGTGAATAATTCACCACCCAGACTCCCTTCAAAAGCTAGTGAAAGTCGTCTTAAGATTGTTTAGTTATTTACCTTTCGTTTATTTCTTTAATTTTCGTTTCATTTTTTAGAAGAAACATTTTTGTATCTTTATTTGGCATGCTAAATTATTGTGTAAGAAATGTAAACCGTAACTCTATTATTTTGATTCCGCATTTAATTTATGAATTTATTTTCATTTAAGTTTCGGGCCTTTACAATTTATATACATATATTTATTTTGTTTTAATTTTAAATAATAAAATAATTTTTATAATTGCATATGTTAATTGCATGAATGATCATACATGTAGACATGAATGGTGCATTCAACAGCAAATATAGTTTTTATTTTAATTAAAAATATTTGTGAAAAGTTTTGTTATAATATAAAAAAGAAATTAAATATTTTGTTAAAATAATTGTTGATATTAAAATTGTTTAAAAAATATAAATACTGAATAAAGCAAAATAAAATTTGTCTATTTGATATGGTAACACATATACATAATACATACATATATATATATCGTTGTACATTTGTTTGTATAACAATACATAAATGTATGCAGTAACAAAATAAATTAAAAAATTTAACTTAAATTATTATTTATATAATAATATTAAAAAATAAAAATTAATTAACTTTTTAATTTTAATAAAATTTAAATTTTAAATGATGATGAGACGATTTGTGAAAGACAGATAAACAGTAGACGATATATGATGATTGATGGACGTAGAAGTGTGGAGGGTGGTGAAAGAAGGGCAGGGAAGGCAGAGGACAACTGGTAAGCGGCGAAGGGCATGCAATGGTTATCGAATGGGGAGCAATAAGGGGGAAAGGAGAACAATAGAGAGGAATTTGTAGGCAGCAAAGAGTGATTGACAAACAATAGAAGAGCAACGAGAGACGTGCAATGGGTCCTGAGATGCTTGACAAACTGAAAATGTATAAAATTTTTAATTACTTAATGGTAATTTTAGAGTAAAAATATTGATAACTATTTTTAATTTTATACGTATGATTGTAAATTACTTTAAAAAATGCAAAAACTATAGTAATAAGTTATGGCCAACCGTGCAGAGAAAATTTAAACAATAAATAAATAAATAAGACACTGAGGAAGAAAGGAAAAAAAAAAAGAAAAAAAAAAAAAGACAAATAGCGAAAATAAACACGTTTGCGCTAAAAAAAAAAACACAAGAGAGACCTTGTGGGAGCTACCGAGAAAGAAGAGAAGGAAGAGAGAGATAAATAGAGGGAGAGAAAGAGATAAAAAAAAAAAAAAAAAGAAAAGAAAGAAGAAAAGAAATAGAGAAAAAGAAAAAGATTAATAGTAGTAATAATAATAACCAGCAGCGATCGAGCTATACACGAAGCGAAGCTGGGATTACACGAATCAACAATAAGCACAGGAATGCACTAAAGGGGGAGCAAAAACAATTCCCGCGGAAGACAAGGAAAGCGAAGAATCGAAGCCCAAGTAAACTGAGAGACTCGATTTTTTTCTTTGTTGGTTTCCTGCAATTGGTCAAGCTCGTTAAGGTAAGGTCTCAATGAATCTCTCAGCTTTTTTGCTGTACTTTCAAGCTTAGTTATCACTCTTCATTGTGCTTTATTTTCTCTGCAATTCGATTTTTCTATGCAATTCGTGCTCTGTTCTTAACTCAATCGTCCAACTTACTGATCTCTCTTTTTCCACTTCAATTTTTCGAATTTGAAGTTGGTGTCTTTTGAATTTTGTGAAGAATGGGGGGTTTTTAATTGGTGCAGTGGTATAATTTTACGGTTCGTGAAGTTCGCGAGAAGCGTGGTGGTTTTTCTTTTGGGGCTGCAAAGTTGGTGATTCGAACTTAGGGTTTTGATTCCTCATGTCTTTGAACGATTTTTGGTTGATTTCTGGGTTTTGGATAACCTATGGAGTGAGTTTGATCTCTAGGGTTTTGGTTCTGCGAAGATGAGATTTGGGTTTGCATTGTGCGGTTTCTGGCTGGGTTAATTCAGGGTTGTTTGGAAACACAAATAGCTTAACGGAGGTGGAAATTTTAGGTATTAGGATTTCTTGGATGGTGTTTGGGGTTTGCTTGTCTGGGATATGCTGAGCCTGAAAGTTTGATTTACATGGAATAGGAGGCGTGATGGTGAATTTTGGTTTTTTTTGGATGCAAGGTTAACAGTAATCTTCGGGTGCAATTAGGGGATTCTGGGGATTTTTTTTTTTTTTTTTTTTGTTAATGGTGTATGAATAGTGTTGTTGTAAAATGCAACCTCAGCAGGGCTCTAGGATTGATTTGGGAGACTTGAAAGCTCAGATAGTGAAGAAGATTGGGGTTGAGAAGTCAAAAAGATACTTCTATTATTTAAGCAGGTTTTTAAGCCAGAAGCTTAGTAAGAGTGAGTTTGACAAGTCTTGCTATCGTGTACTAGGGAGGGAAAATCTCCCTCTGCACAATCAGTTGATACGTTCAATTTTAAAAAATGCATGTCAAGCCAAGAATCCACCACCTATTCATGAATCAGGTCCAGCCAAGTCTGTGGTACAAACTGCTAAATGTTCGCCTGGCAGAGAAGATGGTCTTGAACAAACCGTATCTCTTGTTCCAAGCCAAAATACAAATATATCTATTTGGACAAATGGAGTTCTGCCTGTGTCCCCTCGAAAGATTAGGTCGGGGATACGTGAGAGGAAGCACAGGGATAGGCCTAGTCCACTTGGGCCTAACGGGAGGCTTGAATGTTTGTCCCATCAATCAACGGGTACTGAAGATACTTGCAATAAAGCTAATATTGAAAATGGAAATTTGACTCCTTGTGATTATGAGAGACCATTGCAGCATCTACAATCAGTTGCAGAGCAACCTGATAATGAAAGGGATGGTTCGGGTTTACGACCCAATAGAATACCCGGTAAAGATCAGGCTGAAACTCTTCTTGTTGAAGATGGGGAGGAGGTGGAGCAGGCTAACCGTTTGAATCTCTCTAAGAGTCCTCTACTTGCACCACTTGGGATTCCATTTTGTCCGGCTAGTGTTGGTGGGACCCGCAAAACTGTTCCTGTTTCAACTAGTGGTGACTTTGTTAGCTATTATGACAGTGGTGTATTGACTGATTCAGAGACATTGAGAAAACGCATGGAGCTGATTGCAGCAGCACAGGGCCTTGGAGGGGTTTCCATGGAATCTGCTAATATGTTGAACATCATGTTGGATGTGTACTTAAAAAAATTAATCAAATCATGTGTTGATCTGATCGGAGCAAGAACTGCACATGAGCTCAGAAAGAATCCTATCCACAAGCAGCAGATTCAAGGCAAGATTGTCAATGGCATGTGGCCTAGTAATCACTTACATGCACAGAATAGCAGTGGGCCCATGGATTCTATGGAGGATCGTAGATCACCGTGCTTGATATCTTTACTCGACTTTAAAGTTGCCATGGAGCTTAACCCACATCAACTTGGTGAGGATTGGCCGATGTTGCTGGAGAAGATTTGTATGCATTCGTTTGAGGAATGAAACATCCAGTTGAAGATTTCTTTGTCCAAATGCTATGGTTGGGTCAGTACTTTCGGGCTCAAAAGATTTGATAAATTTTTTTGGAAATCGTTGATTCAACCTGTTCCATTCTTCTGCCACGTTGAACCATATGGCTTTCATTCTTATAGTGCGCTGACCCGAAAAAATGAAGTTATGGGTCTGAGCATCAAAATGCCTGTACTCTTCTGCTGCAGAGCCTGGGCGAATCTGGAATTATTTAAAAAAGCAACCAAGCAAACGGTACCTTGAAATAGAATGCCTATGACTGGTTGCTCTGTTGTACGACTAGCATTGATGTTGGTTTTCTTCTACCAACCTTACAGATCTCAAGCTTACCGTGTAATTTACAGCCAGGGAGGAGGAAATCTAAGAAAATTTTGCAGGGATACTGTTTTTTAGCTGGTGAAAGGTAAAATCACTCATGTAACAGCTGCAGGATTGCTCTGTATGTAATTTAAAATCTGAGAATTGATTGAAATTCCAATATTAATAACACATTGACATCCACTTACCAGACCTTTATGTTAGATTTTAATTCTTCAGCTGGATGGCATGTGAAATTTCTGTCCTGGGATGATTAATGGCATCACTTGCATTCTCTTGGATATCTATGATTTGCTGAACCATGGAGCAGTGGCTACTTTATATATCCTGATTTCACTTCTTGTCTTTCTCGATTTATTTTTTAATACCGTTTTGTTATTGAATGCACATTAGTCTGGACAAAGGGTTTTACTTCTAAGAAAAAGGAAACCAAACACACACTGAGGCTGCTTTTGATCTATCTGTGTAATTGAGAAATGGGTGAAACTTGCCAACACAACTGATACTGGACAAGGGACGGCATAATTTCTGTTCATAATAAAAAAGTTTGGGGTTCATAAATAATGTCCTCAATATTTTTGTTATGTGGAAGCACACATTTACTTGAGAGAGAACCACTTGCATATTCTGCTATTCACTCCATTCAGCAAATATATGATTGCTGAGATGCTATTCATAAGCCTTTTAACTTCTTTGTTTTGAATTACTCAATATCCAATCAGGGGCACTAATGAAAATTTTAAGTTGTCCTTGGTGTTCTACTAGTTTTAAGGAGCCACCCACTGACATCCAGATCACAGATATTTAGCGGTTTCTGGTCAATGCTGGTTTTCATTTGAAGATGGAAAGGAAATCTCACGAAAGTACCTTGGAAGGGTCGTATTTCCAAATTTCACTGATGATTCTTCTGGAGTTTTGTACATATCTCTATTACTTGATTATCTTTTCTGGTAAAGATCTGTTAACTCTACTAATATTAGACTTTCGAATTGGCTCATCTATATTTCAGCTATGATTCACCAGAACTGTCACGTTATCTTGTGTGGAACTTGTATAAGATTAGAGATCTCATACCTTGTAATATTCTTAAACAAGCTTCTTTTTATCATCTCTCTTCATTAGCATTCAGTACTCGGAGCATTCAATTCATATTGCTGCATTTTAGTTGCCCTTTGAATGGTAAAGATGACCTGCAATGTCCAATGGTGTTTGCAGTCTTTTACCTCAGGAATAAAAAAAAAGATTATACACCTGATGTCATGTTTCTTTATGTAGTAAAGATCCACTAAGAAATATAGTGTTAATGTAGCAGGTAAATTAGTTGATCCCAATATTAGCTAGATCTTAATGTGAAGAATCCAGAGGCCCCATGACTTTGCAGGTAGTTTTAGACGTCTTTTAAGTTCTTTCATCGCTGCTGAGTGCTCTGGTATTCCTGGACTCTGTTGTAGGGTGCAATTTGTAGCAAGTCCTGGGCCTTTGGGAGTTTCCCATGAAATATATATATATACTTAATATGGAGTTAGATTGGGAGATTAGGTCCTGTATTGTGTTGGCAGCCAAGAACATTATCTTTTTCCAGTAGCAGAGTCCTTACAAGCTCTCATTAATGGATCATGTTTCAGTATTCAAAGATTGTAAACTGGAAGTTATGAAGGTAAGGGATCCTGTTGTGTTCTCTGCATCATTTTATTGTTGCAATGAGATATATAAATCCATGTCAGATGGACATATTTATCTGTCATAACTTATGAAGGCATATCATGAGCTTGAATTTATTTGTTCAAAAGATTTTCCTTTTAATGCTGCAGGAACTTGATAGTTGACAATTGCCACACCCGTAGATCCATTAAAAACACTCAGTTGTTAGTTTCAGACCAACTAAACCTCTGAATTTGTATTTTGTTCTATTTTATGATTTATTCTGAATTTCTTTGCTTCTCTGCAAGAGCTTGTGAGCTTCAATTGATATCATTTCAAACAATAAGAAGCTTTTAGGAAGTTCTGTTACAGTAGGATTAGCAACAACCAGATCTTCATTTCACCTTGTGAGATGATCGGAACTTATAGGGCAAGTCTGTTACCTTCCTCTATTTACTGGTACATAATAGATTTGACTATACTCTGATACTATTTTAACTATGATTTGCTGTCATCAGTTTTCAACATTATGCTGATCAGCTCCTAGCAAGTGATGGCTAAAGTAATAATAAATGATAGATAAAATGGTAATGAAATATAGTCAAATGAGAACGGAATATTGCCAAATATTATGTACTTCCAGATAATTGGAGATGCCCTGTGTTCTGATTTCCATCTGTTTGGATACACTTCATCACTTCTATGGATTTCTGGATCTCCATTTATATATTTATATTTGTTTGTCAATTTTGGAATTGGACACTTGCAGTTCTCTTTATACTAATGTATAGTGACTCTCTTAATTGATCAGTTAGGACTGGTTGCTTCAGCATTCCAATGTGAGATTGCTGTTACTTCTCCCCTGGACAGTTTGAAAATGTGTACTCCTACTGTTTCTTTTGGAGATCCAAGAAAGTGATTTCTATCTTTTAGGGGCCTAGGGTCATTGACTTTTGTGATTTAGGAACTTGTAAGGGTGTAAACAAAACCATTTCTTATATACTGATTTGAAATCTTGATCGTACATTATAGTTTAGAGGATGTGAGTAATTTGCCTGTTGAAGTTACAGAAGAGATAATAGCCTAGGCAAAATACATCAGGTGAATTCATTATTCTGTCTTCTGATCCAAACGGAAAGAATGTAAGATTGGATAATACCGCAGGTAATAATTCCAAGGAGGTTGATTGTGCAATATTTGTATTGGCTATATATTTGTGTTAAGAATTAAAAAATACTTGTAAACATCTATTTTCCATCTGTATTAGCAATCTGGCTTCTCCAATATGATTCGGAGGGTACACAATGGCAATGATCTGATATTTGTACAGTGAAGAGAACTCAAAATGTCTTAACGGTTTCTTAGTACTCTGTACTGTTTCTTAATGTTCCAGCATTCTTTTTGAAATAAAATGCTCCATCATTCTTATTGATGAGCTTCTCAAATCACTGCATATTGAGCTTGGGTATAATAAACATCACTGTATATTTAGCTAGTGTAGTTCAATAGTTTTGAAGTATTCTAATGAAGTTCATACATTTCACTACGGCAATTGATAAATGGTCTGAGGTACATTTACCCTTTTAACAAAAACAATGATTTCACTAGAAAAGGAAGGGGGTTGGGAAATTGCCATGGAATTTAAGAGATTGATTTCTTTTTTAATTTTTAAAATATGGTAGTATCAGAATTAGGGAATTGGATTCTTCTTCTGCAAACAATTTGCTTGTTGTTTCTCTTCAGTTGTGGTAAAGCGTATTGTCTATGTATGTACATATAATTTTATGTGGGGAAATTAACCAAATGAAATGCACCATTCAATAAAGACATTCCTTCAAAAGACATCATCTTGTTATGCAATTGGCAGCAAAAGAAAACACTGATTAAAACATTTTCAGACCATAAACTCCTGATTAAATCCACAAGTTTAACACTATGTTTGGAACTGAAATTCATTTGTCATTAGAATGAAGATGAAAATATGAATTTGTAAATGTACTAACACCCTTCTTTTCTTGTCGAATCTGCAGTAATACATTTACTGTAAAATAATTTTTTGAGTATAAACCAAACTAATAGGTTTCACTATAAAAAAAAATGTCTGTATAAAACAAAGGGATATATAGCTAAAAGCATCTAATATTGTTTAAAAATTTATATTGGCTTTTGTATTAATGTTTAGTTCAAATACAATCTTTATTTTCAAGTTTTATCTAAATCGATCCTCACTGCCAACGATGTTGTTTAGCAGATGTTTACGTACAGACAATGTGTACGTAGACATTATATTTTTTTAAAGTCGTCTAGATGACACTGTTATACGGCAAGCACATTGGTTAACTTTTAAAAACGTTTAACCTGACTGCATATAGTTGTTAGATAATAACGATTTCTCTATTCATAATTTTAATTATGTGATATGCTAAAAATAATAATTTATGTGTAATGTACGATTGAAATAATTTCATTCCCTGTCTTCACTTTTATAATTATAATTATGGATTTACATTCTTATTTGTTTATGAAGAAATCAAAAATTATTTTAACTTTTTTTTATTAAAGATAAAAGAATCTAACTTACAATTAATTAAAATGTTTATTTCCTAAATCAAAATTTGAACATTGCTAGCATGAAATACTGTTCGTGTTGATTCTCTTTAGAATATGATAGTTTATCTCAAAATGTTCTTTCCTAAATCAAACTGCTCAGACTACCATAACATTTAAAAGACACCGCACCACACCACTACGCACATCTGTGCTTGTTTGGAAAAAGAAAAAGTCATAACAAAAACAGAAGGGAATAGCATGATAGCAACGAAGATGCAATCTGCAAGTAAAAGTTTTTACTTCACAGTTTCTTTTACAGGTGAACATCAAGTTCCCAGTGCATAGCCAACTGCCCCTGGGCTTATTTGATTGAGATCAAAGAGATTTTTATATATACAAAGAAAATTAAAAATAAAAAGTAAGAAATGATGAAGAGATGCACTTAATTTTTACAAAGCCAAAAAGTCAGCCTCCTGCATCCTATTCAAGAGGAGGAAGAAGAAGAAGAAGATGGTAGGGGTTCTGCAGATGCCTTGCAAATAGGACACCAATTTTTCAACCGCAGCCACTGCTGTATGCATTCTACATGATACCTATGCTCACACTGCAAACTTCCCACTTCGGCTCCCACAACATACTCCTCCTGGAAAACACAATCATTGCATAACATAACGTTAAAAGTAGTTATGTAGATTCTGACGTTAGACTTGGGCTTTAGGATGATTAATTTCAATTTGAAGCTTACGAGACATCCAAACTATATTACCAATACCCAAAATCTTTTTTTTTTCCCCCGAGATAAAAATATGGCACCATAAGAAGGCACTCCAACACACCTATCTAAATTAAATTTAAAAAATATTCAAATCCTGCGAGTTCTTGATACACGAATCTTACAGACTGATATTTGACCTTTTTTACTTACCAAATTAACTGAATTTAAAACACCCCAACACATATTTATGAAACCACAATATAAGTTCCTTAATACCTGTATGCAACCTAACAAACTCTATCTGGGATCAAATATATGACTATGCATGATTAGGTTAAATCATATCCATGCATTTGCATCAAGATCTGAAACCCAAACCTTACGGGGTAACAGGGTTAAATTTGACATCATTACACTCAACACACAACCTCTCCCGTAAAAGATCTTTAGCTCAATCACAGAGTTAAAAAACTACTGAAGGAAACGTTATTAGACAAACAACCTGGCAGATACTGCATTTGGCATCATCCATATCGCCAGAACAATCAATATTCTCTTCCTCAGAAGGTGCCAACTGGTAGATATTAGTCTTAAGGCATTTTGACAATGCTTCTTCAGTTAGAGCAGTGCTCACAGTACCCATCCTCTCTTCTAGAGCAAGTAACTCCTGAAATAGTTGCCAAAAAGATACTGTAATATAAGGTTGCTAAAGACTGTATTATTACTTCAAAGCTCAGAATTATGCTGAATGAAGAAGATAACCTAAAATATATTGCAGAAAAGCACATTGAAGAATTCTCTGAACAGAAGACAGACCTCATATGACATGTTGTCGATATCCAGCCTCATGTCTCTATGCTGATCATAGAAGTTTAGGCCATTCAGGAACAAATTGGTCTCTAAAACAAGTAGTTGCTGCAAGACAAGAAAATGATCAATGAGAAAAAAAATATCCATATGACAATACTGAAAGACCAAAAGTTAACTACCTCATATGTTAGCTCTTCATCTTGTTCAATCCTCTCAAGTGCCAACAATACCTAGACAAAGCATAAAGGAGATATCACTAATCAAAATTCAGCAGAACACAATATAATCAAATACAAATGCACAGGTGCATTTCTGCCCTTCTCTGTAGAAAATAAAGAATGATAATACCTCTGCAATCCCATCCATGTTATAGCGCCGGAAGCTATCCCTGTTTGCCAAAGAGTGTGTTACGCCAGCTTCTGCGGAACCTGGGACCAAATTACGAAGATGCTCGCTGGCACTGCCTGATCTACTGTATGAACTTGGGGGACGAGGGGAATGTTCTGTAGAAATATGATCATTCACGTCAATTGATATTTTCATGCTGAATGGCTTGTGAATCTATAGCAAGGGACTCATTCAATGATAAAATATTTCCATTCCCGTCATTAGACAGCCTTGTCCTATTGTAGCTATTCATTGATCTCTGCGTCCTAACTGACGAAACACAAGTATCCCTGTTCGAAGGCCAATTTCTGGTTTGTCTTGTATCAGAAATTGATACGCCATGGCTAGGATTGTAAGTCCGCACTTCAAAAGATGGCCCTGTTATCTTCCTCCCTCTACTGGAGGAACTACTCTCTGCATCAAAATTTCTTTTTTTCAGCGAGTCCTTCCTTCTACTAGGGTTTGAATCTGATGATGAACTGCCAGATGAGACAACATCAGCTACTGAGTTGCATTTTAGATTTCTCAACCCATACCTGCTCCCATCACGTGCTCCCTGATTTATGCTTGCAGATGACGAAGAAATAGAGGAACCAACAAAACTGTCCTGGTTGCTCAATCCAGACCTCTGATGAAAGTTCCTCCGACTTCTTGCACTTGATTTTAAGCTTGAGCTTCCTGCCTCTGACACTGTAATTTCTTTAGGATCAGAATATTCGGAATCACGTTGAAACCCTCTTTGGATTTTTCCAGGAGGGTTGGTTTCTGAGACCTCTAGCTCATCCTGAACACTACTAGTTTCAGATGAATCTGTTTCTAACAGAGTAGACAATTTCTTTTTAGTATTTGTGGATGTTTTTCTTCCACTTGTAACTGCAGTGCAATTCCTAGAGGAACTTCCAATTATTTCCTTGCCACTAGATGACGCACGGAATGAAAGCTTTGCAGGTTTTGCTTTACCTGACGAACCAATTTGAGTACCCTTCATCGTGTTCAGCTTGGCACTGCAACCAATTCTGTTGCAAAATTGAGCATCTCGATCTCTATCGTTATCCCTTAATACAAGACCAGATCCTTTCCTAGAGACAACAAGCCCATTAATGGCTCTTTTACCAGAACATCCATCCATGTGTTCAAGAAAGGCTCTTATATCTGCAACGAACAACATTTGGTCAAGTAATGGAATTGGTTTATATCACAATTGACCAGCCATATTCCAAGGAAAAAGCGGCATTCATCAAAACTTAGGCCAAGATATTGAGAAAAAACTAGGATCAAAGAGGCAATAAGATCATCTCAATGAAAAGGAAAACTTCATCTGTAAAAAATGTAACGTTCTTGCAGAACTAAATAGTTGACATGCTAATATCAAAGAAAGTTCCCTTGTTGAATAGACATTTATCAGTACAATATGTTCACATTCTATATATATATTGACAGCTCCTACAATAAAACAATATGTTCACAGTCTAAGGTGGAAAAACTCACAGAGATGAAACCGCCTTGTCTACATGACTAGTGGCCTTCACATATTGGATACTAAAGAAATACTGATTCAGTGGCACCTTCACCGAGTCATAGATTAAGCGATTACAAAAAACTACATCATACATGGTACAAAGCAATTGATGGAACACACATCCTATATGAATTCTAAAATACCCCTTTGTAACAACAAGATATGATAAAATCTATAGATTTTCCCCCAACATGAAGAGATTATTTTGTAGAATTACATTAGCATTTAATGCAAAGGAACTTAATACGTATTACAAAAATAACATTCATTAACTTCTTTCTAAAAACAGAGAGCAAAATGATCAAGATGAAAGTTGCTACCACCCACCAGAAGATAGCAAATTTGAGATTCACCAGAATATAAAAATTGGAGATAGACGAGAAAGCAACTTCTTATACGTGAGAGAGAATAACCACAGAAGGTCAATTTGTGATGCAGACATCAATAAGATGTTACTTTCAATCGACTCCATCAACTAAATGGAAAAACGAGTGAAGGATAAGCTAACAAGCATGACCACATAGAGCTGATAAATCCAGAAATTCACAACACGTGCAAATCAACTTCTTCAACAAATGTAATCGAAAGGAAGAGACGATCATGTTCTCCTCGATAGAAACAAGTAATGATCAATTGAATAAGCCAGAAAAAATCAAGTAATGATCAATTGACTTAAGATACGAACGAATCAAAATAACAAAACAAAAGAGTGACTGAAATAAATTAAAGGGTAAGAGAAAAAAAAAAGGTGAGAAATTGAAGTTGGGATGAGTTAAAGCACCTTTGTTATCAGTGAATCAATCATAATAATATCAAAGCGAACATTTGTGAAGTTGTTCTGATTTGAAGAGTGAATGAAGAAAGAAAGGAGAAAAAGGAGGAAGCAAAAGGCCACATGGCCAGTATCTCATCCCAAGAAAAGGTGGGTCTCTTCGATTTTCAAGGACAAAGCTCCTTGGTTTGAACTATCCTCTCTCCCACAATCTTTCCTTTTCTATATTTCTCTAAAAATAAAACCCCCTCATCCGTGATTGAAGGAGACAAAAAGCTGAGCCCAACACTCCCAAACGAAAATTTCGTTAAAAGGAAAAAAAGAAAAAGAGGAGATGATCACAGTTCACAGCTCCTATTATTTTCCAACCAACCAAACAGAAAGACGACCGCAGCAGGGAAAAAAACCGAACACAGATACAATCGAATCAGAACATATAAACACAACCAGCACAGAGTAATAATAAAAAAAATCAAAATAGAGATACCTCCAGGTTTTCGAAGAAAATGAAAAAAGAAAAATATGATTTTTACATAACCCCCTTATTCTTTGCCACCAATAACAAGAAAATAGAAAGCCGACAAGAACAAGAAACCCAAGAAAAATTCATGGGCTTGCTTCACATGACCGTACTAAAAAGGTGATTGGACCAGGATTATCAAATTCTTCTATACCTTTGCTTGGTTCTTCTTCTTCCTCTTGGTTTGTTTGAATGTAGAGAAAAGGGTCTTAAAAAAGGGAGGCTAGTAGGGAGAAAGAAATGAGGCAAAAACGTGTATGAAAAATAACAGGAGAATCGAAGTCTAATGCCCTCAGTAATTATCACTTTCTTTATATTTTCTTCCTAATCATTTTAAGATTAATTAATATTTAAAAAAATTATATATATATATATATATTTACACCGGACTACAAAAGAAAATTTAAAAAAAAAAAAGAAAAGACGGTGAAATATGGGCCGTTGATTTCGGGTTCAGTAGAGTCAAAATCGACGGTTGCTGGAGAGCTTTTATTGGTAATCTTTTGTGGATGGAAAGGGGAACGGAAACAAGTACTAACCCCACCACACATCAATAGCCGAGCCGCCCCCGCCTCTTGTTTAAAATTAAAAAAATATAAAACTAATAATTCCACTTGAGGTCGAAGCACGTATTTACACGCGCTATCATGAAGAAACAGTTTTAATTTTCCTTTTTCAAAAAATTGTCCATATTTTATTTTATTATTATTATTTTTTTGGGGTGAGTATTATCTTTTAACGTGTGTGGGTGGGCCTGGCCAGGTCTCCCCTTTCACTTCTTTTTTTTTCTTTTAGTTTTAAAATTTAATTAATTTTTTTAACATAAATAATATTTTATTTATATAATAGGTTTTATGCTTGGGTCCGGTCCGGATAATATTTTTACTCGTAAAATTAATTAATATTTTCATTTAAAATAATTTATAGTAAAATTTTTATTAAAAAATTATTATAAGGACAAACTCTTTTAATAAATTTGACCATTTTTTTTTATAAATAAAAATTATGAAACTATTTTTTTTTTAACAATTGCTATTGAAATATTTATTAAATATTTAGTTTTAAATTATAATTTTTATAACTTAATTAATTTCAAAATAAATCATGTTATTTTTTATTTCTTATATTTAATTTATATATCCGATATATGATTTTTTAAAAATGTATAAATTTTATAACTAGTTGATAATGAAACTATTAAAATTACTTATGCACAGACATAGCAAAGGGCATTTTGGTGAATAAACAGTGTAATGTCAACCACGCGCTTTAGATGCGGTGGGGCCAGTGTCGCTTTCGTTAGCCAATCAGCATATACGGAGTGTGTATTTATTTTAGTGTTTTTTTTAAAAAACTAATAAATATAGAATGTAAATAATTAATTTCCGGTTTTAACTATATTATCATTAATAAAGTTATTAAAGGCATTAATTAGTCGTTTTAAAGAAACATTGGGTAGTTAAAAAAGTAAATTTTTTAAGCAATGAATTCAGGCTCAGTGATTATTTATATTAAAAAATTAATACAAAATTATATATATCATTCATGTTAGAGCTTTAAATTTTTTTTTTTTCCCTCTAAAAATTTATGTAACATTTACTCTTAAAAAATAGTAAGATTAAAACAAGTACAATCATTTGTTTATTGGTAAAACTGTAAAAAAAAAAAAAAAAAAAAAAAAACGTAAAAATTGAATAGCACCAGAAATATTAGAAACTCATTTGTTATTTTCAAATAGTAAAATAAAAATAATAAATAATGATTTGTAAAGTTGTCCTTTCTTCTTTTTCATTATATTTTTTGTTAATTTCTTTTTTTGATACTAAATTAGTATTTTTTTAAAAAAAAAAAATTTAATTTTAATTTTTATAATAACTCGGATTTATTTATTTATTTTTTATAATCAAAACACCTGGGAACATTATTAAAAACGTACAATGTTAATAATATTTATCTTAATTTTGTTAAAATTTATTAATTAATTACTTGACATTCATAAATTACAATTTCTAGAGGGTAAATTAAAATAAAAACACAAAATTAAACAAATTAAAATAATAATATATACCTCCAATATCCAATCAAATAATTTGATGATTTTTTTTTTAAAAAATTAAAAATTAAAAATTAAAAAAAAGGGGGCATAAATTAGAAGTACGTAATCGATTGTATCTCATTCATACAATTAATAACACTAATAACTCATCATTACCCTCCTGATTCAATAAAAAATTTATTTTATTTTATTTTATTTTGATTCTCTCCAACCAATTAGATGCCCAAAATCCCCACTTAATCTTCTAGTGAATAAGTTAGTGGTGGCCAAATTCCTCAACTCAGTCAAGCTTAATCATCAAGATTACTATAGTGGCCGTATTCTTCTTCCACATGGTATTTTAGTGGGGTTAAATCTTAAAAAGAATAATTAAAATTATTAGAGAAAGAGACTTAAATTAATTAAATGGGTATTGAGTATTTAATATTTAATAATTAAAAACAAAAGTAGATTAAATGAGCTGCATGAATGCCAATTGTGACACAGAGAGAGGACCCCCAGATGCCATCACTTACCATTTCTGACGTAAGCTAATATTAATTAACTCTTTTGGTTGTTTGTTAGCATATACGTGTGTGTGTGTGTGTACATATATATATCTCAAGGATTGAAGATGATAAGCTTTGAATTATTAATTAATTAATGAAAATGAGGAGATGACGTAATTGATTAATGAGTTAATTAATAATGGAAGGAGGCCAGAAGGCAGCTAAAGAAGAAAGAAAAGGAAAGCAACCAACTAAAACTTAATTAGTTAGGTCATAATGGGAGGAGATCAATTTACAGCTTGGCTTAATCCACTAAAGCTATTTATATATATATATATATATCTAACGCCTTGTTGCGGAATTTGCCAAAACGGCAAAAACAACATAATTTGCTTTTTGCAAATCCTAATTTATGTGGCTTAATTTGGTTTTTTTTTTCTGTTTAAAATATTAATTAACAAATTAATCAGAGTTAATTATTAGCATACGTGCACTTCTTGTTTTCTTCACATGATAATGTCTGCTTTCCTATCTTACCCCAGAAGAAAAGAAATTAGAACCCTATCGAACTTATTTTTATATTTAATTTCACTTTTTTTTTAAAAAAAAAATGTTTAACGCCTTCATATTTCATTTACGTAATTAATTAATTATTAGTATTTGAATAATTATTACCATAAGTATATACGCAGCATTTATTAGTATTGAAAAAATTATCAAGGGTAAATCATAAATACCTTTTAAAATAAAAATATTAGATTGAATTGTATTTTAATTAAAAAAATTTAATAGCAATATAATATTATTTTTATATAATTTAATTTTATTAATATATTAATGAGTTGAATAATTAATTCGTGGAATGTATGATTTGGAAGTCTGTGGTTGACAATGTCTAAAAAGCTTTACTTCCTTTCTGCGAGTTTCATAAATTTGGCAGCCACCAATTGGAAAGTGGAGATGATGTTACCAACATTGATTTTTCCAGCTCTCTTCTTATTTATTTTAATTAAAAGATTTATGTTATCCCATCTTTTCAGTAATACAATAACCATGTGCATATACATATATATATACATTATACCCATCGGGTAAATTATATAGTCAAAATGATTGGTTGAGGCTTCCAAATGGAGCAGTATATATAACCACCACTATATATATATATATATATATATATATGAATACTGATATACGACTTGCAAATTTGGTAAAACTCAGCAGCCCTAAAGTTGGTCAAATCTTGTATGGGTTCTCAGTTAGCCAAATGGAGTTAAATTAGGTGCAATCTTGCAGTTTGTATATTTCTAATTGACCATAAAGAAAGAGATCATATATAGTTCATATATATATATATATATACATATATGTTTTAATTTATAATGCACTTACGTAACAAAGATGGATATTTTATTTTGACGAATTTACATTTCTTTTTTGTTCATCGATCAATTTAATTGATCACTCAATATTTTTTAAATAAAAGAATATATTTAGTTCTCCATCACAAAATGTTAATCATCGCAAATCTTGGTTAAGGTATGGGAGGCTACTCACAATTGCTTTTGCACGACTCCATCATAATTATACATAATCATATATGCATACATGCCAGCTAGTCCTCCTTTCAAATCCTTAATTAACAAGGATATATATATATATACATACACACACATACAAACATATATAATATGATATAAATATCAATGAATTATGTTTTATTATAATTTTTTTAGAAGAAATTTAAATTTATAAAAAAAATGAGTTAATATATATTCCTAAAACAATCTCATGAAAATTTTAAAAATATAATTCTCACATTATCAAATAATAGAGCTCTATTAAATTTTTTTAAAAAATACACCATATATATATAATATATGTGCGTACAAAAGACTTGGTGTAAGTATCTAGATATATATGGAATGAATGTAGGTGGTATATTGGTCTTCAACATTGAATAGTTAATATATACACACATATATATTATAATATTGTAAGTTGATGGTTAACAATGAAGATATATTAATTTGTTATAATTGTAACTAGAGAAAAGTCAAACAAACTCATCCACCTGTATCGGATGTTTTGATGACGAGAATCGATTCAGGTTTTGATTTTCATGGCTTCCACCACCGTGAGTTATGCGGAATTTAAGCTCCTTTTATCAATTCATTTCTTCTTCTAAATTAATTCTCATCATATATCTCTCAAAACTCCTTTCTCCCCATCAATTTCTAGCTCTTCTCCGACAGAGGTACATGTATCTCCCCCCCTCTTTTTTTTTCTTTTCAATAAAGAATATGTATGTATATATATTTCATAGATCTCCACATTCATTCATATACATGTTATATGTACACCATGCTTTAGTTCTTCTTTTGTCTTTGTTATTTCTTGAACAAGAACAAATATTAGAATTACAAGCAAAGATCAATTGATTGATAATTTAAACAAACAGTGAAATTTTATGGCCATCCATTTTATCCTAATTTGTTTTTTTTTTTTTTATTTACTCCTTGAACATTATAGAGAAGTTGCTGTGTATGTTATCCTCATTTCCCTCCAGCTGATTAAGAAATAATCGGTAGAGGAAATTTTGGTTCTTGATTAATTTGGTTGGTGTACTTTCTTCCACTTCTTTAGCATATTATGATAATATACTTTATTTACAAACAAAAAAAAAATACAGTTTATAGACATGTAAACATTATCTGATGGTATATAGAGATTTCACATAGTTAAAAATTATTAATTGTTGGAAAGAATTTAGTTGTAACCATTCAATTGATGTCTAACATAAATTTTAATAATAATAACATTTTTAAAGTAGTAAATATATTATTCACGAGCCTAGAAAAACATTGGCTAGTATAAAATGTATTGTGAAAGGTGAAAGAAGCTACCTAGACCTCAGAATATGTAAATTATAAAGCAGTATTTAACGACTGAGGAGTTAGTCATTCTTTAATTTTATAGGTAATACTTTTCTTTCTTTTAAAAGAGTTTGTAGTTTAAAGTAAAATTGTACATTTCATATATTTTCAGTAAAAAATTATATGCATGTTAAATCACTTAATGAATTTTGAGTAGCAAAAGCCAAGTACCCATTTGTTAGGAAGATCTTAAATTATACGCACGACTGTTTATATGGTTTGTGTGTGTATGTATGTTTTTGCAATTTCCAATGTTTCTTTTGGATTATTCAGGTTTAACTTCTCTTGTTTGGAAGAAAAATCCTAGGACAAACTAGTGTTAGTTAATCAAAGTCGGAGAGAAAATAAATATGGCGACAACAAAACCTAAAGAAGCACAGAACCCATCCAGGACAAAACCGCTCATCACCAGCCACGACCACAACCAGAACCAGAGGATCACAAAGCAAACTGGTGATAAAGACAAGTCATCATCGTCAACCTGTAGCTCAACAGAGAAGCATATCCCAAACTACCTCCGCCCCACCATAAGCTCCCGCCCTGAGCCTCTCAAGCAACAAACTGGTAAGAAAAATGTCCTTGAAGAGCAAAAGCTTGTAAGAAGAAGATCATTTGACAGGCCTCTTTCGTCTACTCCACGTGCGCAAAAAGCACTCATCTCTCCTGTTCCAAGAGACAGGTCATCTGTTTCTTGTCGGGACAAGATGGTTGCTGGCCTCCGATCTTCTTCTTTTCAGG